AACTGCGTGCTTAAAGTCCTAAGCCACGGAGGGGCTCCCATCCCGCTAAAGGCCCCGGACTTGAGCTCAATGGACTTGAGCTCTCTGAGAACAAGAGCGCCTCTCTCTGCTGGACCTAGCGGGGCGCCTGAGAAAGAGGCACTTGGAGTAAGTGAAGGACTGAAAACACGCTGTTAGCTCAGGAACCCAGCAGCTCCTGGACCAGCAGCTGGTTGGTTTTCAGCTGTGATCATCGTCACAAACCCAGCAATGCCTGGAGTTTATTCTTGGGTAGTTGCTGTAGTAGCTAATGATGTTCGCAGCTATAAATAAAAGCCCAACTAGATGCATTCTGAAGACGCACGCTCTAGACAGAAGCAGGGGCTGGCTGGCGGCTTTGGTCGAAGACATATGGGCTCCAGTCCCGGCTCGGTCTGCAGCCCCCATTCCCGGCGCTCCTTCGGAGGGCTTGCAGGCAGCATGGTGCTTTGCTGAGGAAGTCTCTAGAACACAGAGTGGCTGGCACTGCTGGAGAGCCACCTGCGGCCTTCCCTTCCCTCGTCTCCTGCTAGTCAGTTGTCCTGCCTTCTGAGGAGTGGGCCAGAGATACCCAGGCGCCCCGTCAGTTGTGAGCAGGGACAGGAAAGGTGGGCCTGAGGAGACGTAAAAGGCCAGACGGGAGTGCGAGGGTGTGAGTATGAGAAAGGTTAGCGGGAGTCCTCCCGGCCCCTCCTCTGCCAGCAAAAGTGTGGGTCAGGAGACGTGATGTGGGGTGAGAATATCGGGGCCTAAAGCTAGTCCTGATCTTACCCATTAGTAGAAAGTGGGGGTGGACTGCGCAGGGCCCTAGCCTAGCATGCGAGTCCCAGAGCTCAGCACTCTTGGGGCGGGGGAAGGGGGGGTTGGGGGGGGGGGCCCACAGGTTTGAGGCCTCCAGGCCCTACCAGGAAAGCTCATGTGGCTTTCAAAGTCTTTCTGGATGAGAGAGGCCGCTAATATGGTTAGCGTCCTGCCGGAAATGGTCAAAAGAGGCTTGGGGCCAGGTTAGCATCCCCTGTCGCTGTCCCCGCCTTTCCACGCCAGAGCTGCGGTGGATGCTCTGGCTCCAACAGATTACCTGGGCCAAGAGAAACAGAAGAGGCAGCCTCCCCCAAAGAAGCTACTGTCCCCAAAGCAAAGGTAACCCACCAGGCTCAGGATGGGCGGCTGACGAGAAGCCTCCAGCACCTTCCCACGGAGGTCCTTGGAGGGTCTTCCAACTGCAGTGGGGGCGGGGAGCGGGGCTGTGTCAGGACCCAGAGCTCAACCACTTCCCCAGCCTGGCCCCTGCTTCATCTACCTCTTGATTCTACCCAGGCTGAAAACCATTCAAGGTTCTTGGGAGTTCAATGCCACCATTCTTCCTTCAGAACGTGTAGCTAGAAGTTTGTTATCTTTCAAAGATGAGGATACTTTAGTCTCCTTGTTAGGAGCCCTGGTGGTGTAGTGGTTATGAGTTGGGCCTTAACCGCGAGGTCAGCAGTTCGAAACCAGCAGCTGCTTGGTGGAGAATGACGAGCCTTTCTACTCTCATAAAGAGTTTAGAGTTACAGTCTTGGAAACCCACAGGGGCAATTCTACCCTGTCCTATAGGGTCGCTATGAGTTGGAACTGACTCGATGGCAGTGAGCTTGGTTTTTTGGGGGGTCTCCTCAAAGGTGTGGTGCTATCAGGGCCCATCTTGCAGCCAATGAGGGCGAAGGGGCAGCAGCCTGCCAGCTCAGATCAGCAGGAGCGCAGGCAGCTTCGGCAGAGAGGCCGGGGGAGCTCAGAGCTGGGACCTTGGTGCTACCCAGTACCGCCTCACGGGCAGGAAAGAACCGGAGATTCCCACATGGAAAGCTGATGCTTCCTGCCTGGATTTCCCCCAACAGGAGCCTTCAGCCTAAGCATGTGTGAGCCTGGGTAAGGTAAAAACATGAACAACTATAGATGTTTCAAGGCAAAAAAAAAAAAGTTTACCCTGACATTCCAAGTGGGGTGAGGGCAGTGTCCCCAGGGACACACATGATGGCAGGGCCAGCTCAGGGTGTCTTCTCCCCAGGCCCCTCGGGCACACTTTCTTGAAGAAGCGTCCTCAATCTAAAGCCAGCTGTTGTCTGCTGTAGGCCCAAGCACGACAATTTCATTAGCATGGTTTCGCTTCTGAAACCAGGCTCCCGGGAAAGCCCCAGGGCAGATGAGCCCACGCTCGCTGGGGGGAGGCCTGGGAGTTCAGAGACACACGAAGGAGGAGATAACCTCCCTGGCCCCTGGGAATCCACGCAGCATCGGCATGTGCCACCTGCCTAACCCACTTTCTACCTGTGACCTGCAGCACCTGGCCGGCTGGACCCACAGCTTCCCAAGGTGGGTGATACTGCCCCTGGGAGGCGCTGGCACGATCCAGGAGGCCTGCAAAAGCGGACCCCTACACAAAGTTAGACCGAGTAAGGAAGACCAATGAAATATCGAGGCCTTTGAGTTAAGGTGCTGGTGAAACATTACGGATGGACTGACAAAGACAAACAAATCTGTCCTGGCAGAAGTACAGCCAGGACGCCCCTTGGGGGGGAGGATGGGAGACTTCACCTCACGTACTCTGCAGAGACCAGTCCCTGGAGGTCATCATGCTTGGAGGGGCAGCAGCAGAGAGGAAGGCCTGCTACGAGACGCACCGACGCAGAGGCTGCTCCAACAGGCTCACGCCTAAGAACGAGTGTGAGGACGGCTCAGGTGGTACTCCCTTCTGCGGCACTTGGATGGGGTCGCTAGGGGCTGGAACCGGCTCAACTGTACCAACTAACAAAGCAAACCTCCAAGGTGGATGTCTGTGTGTGTGTGTGTGTGTGTGTGTGTGTGTGTGTGTGTGTGTGTGTGTGATGTGCTTGAAGTCAACGTTTTCATGCCCCAAGAAGCCCAATGACCCCTAAGGAGCAGATACGCACGGCTCCGGGGGCTCCCAGGATCTCCGATTAAAGAGCTCCCTCTTCTAAAACGCAAGTCAGATAGGGCTTTAAAAACAGAAACAAAGAAAGAGGGAGGGAGGGAGGCTGGTCCACTGAGTGACTCCCAGTGACTGCCAAGGGCACCACAGTGAGGGTCACAGAACCACGGCACCAAACCAATTCAAACCGGTTCGGTCAGAATAGACCCAGATCGCACAATGTGCAGCTACCCAGGTGATAAGGGGACAGGAAAACCTGTGGGTGGAGACCCTGGAACAGGGGACTGAGAATAGGTGTGGGGCTCTTTCAGACCCCGGAGGAGACAGGAGTATGAATGAGATTGGTGGAGAGGGGCACATGTTCAAAGGTCCTGGTCAACCACCATCTTTAAGCTAGGCGCCATTGTTGCCATGTAACATACACGCTGCCCGTGTTTACCCAGGAAGATTACATTTCTGGCAATGGGAATGACCCCTAATTCCACCCCACCCCCATTCTGCACAGCACTCCAGTGCACAGCCGTTGCACAAAGTTGGGTCTGTTGGGGTGGCTTCGTTGCCCAGGAAGGCCTGGTGTAGGTACCTGCACACCACACACACACACACACACACACACACACACACACCACGTGAGCACCAAACTCAAACTCAACCCCCTGCTCATCCCGACTCACAGCAACCCTGTGCGGGGTTTCGGAGCCTGGAAGTCATTAATAGTGCAGACAGCCTCGTCTTTTCTTGAGTGGCTGGAGGGGTGTGAACCACCAACCTTATGGTTAGCAGCCCGATGTCTGACCCACAGCGCCAGCCACCAGGGCCCCTTTCATGTTGGCTCAGTCCTTGGTGGTTAGCAGGGATTCACATGCGAGGCCCTCCCTCTTCACCGGCTGCACAGCTTAGGACACGAGTGAGGGAGCCCTCAGGAAGGTCCCAGCACTCCCTGTTGCTGTCGGCTCTTGGTAGCTGCAGAATAAAACATGTTCTGTCTTGGTTTCTAGCGGACCATCCTAGTGCTACCAAGATGAAGCCAAAGGGCCACCCCATCTCCGAGCGGCCGGGATATAGTGGTCCAAATCCAAAGTCTTTGTAAGCACCTGTGTCTGCGGCTATGCTACGCTGACCCAGCCCGAGCTTCGGGGTCTGCCTCCGCGGAAGGAGTGAAAGCGACGACCTCCCATCCCTCTGGCTCCAACCTCAACGGTTCCTCTCCCTCCAGCAGAAAGACGGCTCTCCAACAACACCCACCTGCCAGTTCTCCATCGGTCCGTGGGGCGGAGTTTGACCAGTGGAAGCCCGCCAGCAGCATGGTCACTACTCACCTTCCTGTCGCTCAGCAGAGCGGGTGGGGTCTCCGCGCCTTCAACTGGCACACAACCCGGCTCCAGTAATTATATCCACGTTCTAAGCAAATAGTTATGTATTTCTGAGTTCTGGGGACATATGTTATGGCTAACGCCCAAACTGTGGCTAATCTTAATATTAGAGCCAGATAAATCTGTTTCGAATCCAGAACACCCAGCATTGGCCAGAGTCGATGGGTTCATTCGCTGTGCTCAGAGAGGTACAATTCACACATGTGCAGTCTTACTACGGGCTGAAATGTAACCATTTAAATAGACCAGCAACCGTGGCCAGGCGGTTGTTGCAGGCACAGTTAGCGTTTGCCAGAACCGCCCTCGCGAATGCTAGGTTTACACCCAGAGGAGGAGGGATGATCTGGCACCCACTTGAAGTGGGATCAGGGCTCCGTCAGCTTGTACAACATGGTCCTAGCAGAGGGACCCTGTGGATTGCTACTAGTGGCCCTGTACTTTCCCAGAAAATACCTGAACAACACAGGCTGCATCCAATCAGGACTAGAATGGATTTCTTGGGAGGGGTTGGGAGCCGAGGCTCCCAGGCAGTTTAGCAATTTGAGGACTTTGCTGAGGTTGGTGCACCTGCCTGAGAGTCCTTCTGACTCCGTGTCTTCCCTGGCTGGGTGATGAAGTGAAATTACAGACGCGAAGAGAGAGGAGCCCTATGACTACCGATGGTCAGTGCTCCAGACATAATAGAAAAGGAATAAGCAATCAATTTAATTGTATCAAAAAGCCAGCCCAAAGAGGAATAATAGTTCATGGAACTTAAAGGATCCCAACTCAAGAGTCGATTCTGCTCCTCTGTACCAGTCCACCGCCCGAGTCCCGGGCGGGCATCAAACCCACTGCCAGGTCTGCCTACTGCACCATGCTCTGGGCTCAGCGTGGCTTCCGGGAGCTCCCTGATTCGAACTAACTCAGACCGAGGTGATCATTCAGGACGTTTCCCTCATGTCTAACATGGTCCACTAGCTTCCTCTTCTCCGGCCGTCTTACAGTCAATGAGCTTTCTTTCCAGAAGGTTCTCCCAGGTCTGGAAAGGCAGGGTGTCTGAGTCGGGCTGACATCCATGCCACGGCACAGGGTTCTCTGTGGCATTTCCGGAGAGAACTCCTGGGAGAGCCGAAGGAACGATAGGTGCTCAGGGCATCTTCCCAGGTTCCTGTTCTTGATAAGGATCTAAGGCCCTGCCCAAGCCTGTCCCGACACAAGTGTGCCGAGGAGGCTGGGTCTCACCCTGGCGCATGCGCACACTCAGACCTCGGCCGGGCACGTGGTTCATAAGCTGCCGATGTTGGGGAAGCTCTTGAGCTTCTCAGGAAAGTCGTCCTTGTACAGGACGGGGTCGGCCCGGTGCTCCACCACCTTGAGAGGCATGGTCCCGAAGACGGAAGCAAACTTGTTGATGCACTCAGACCTGCGGCAGGGGGAGAGCAAAAAGGGGGAACATGTTGAAGAGGCTGACAGACGGCAGTGAAATACCTGAACTTCAACACCCACAAAGGACACGCAGTGCTCCCGCCTGCTCCTCGGTTCTTAAGGAGGGACTTTGGGTGTCTGGCTGTACCTTCGAGGGGGGGTGTAGGAGGAAGTGAACAGGGGTTGTGGTTTGGAGGTCAAAATCTCTCCCCCTCGGATTGCAGTCACTCTCTGGGCTCCACAGGAGCAAGGCCTCCCACTGAGGTGCGTTAGCTGCCAGGAGGCTTGAGCCCGTCTCCATCAGCTCTTCAGCCAAGGGGGAACAACGCCACTTGGGTCGGAGCACCAGCTCACTTTAGTTTCCAAGGCAGGTGGGAGGGGGGCAGGCACCTGCACTTGAGGCAGGAGGAGGCAGAAGTTGGTGGGGGGCTTGGAGTAACCCCAAAGAGGGACACGACGCCTCATTCATTCAGCCGAGCGGCATGTTCTCTGAGGGTGATCAGTCAGCTTCCACGCACTTTCTGTGATGAAGTTACAGCCTAGGAGTGTCTTCACCATTTTAGCCACTCCCTGGTTAGAACCAGCAGCAACAGGCAACTCGGGCACTGCTGTTTAAGAGAAGAGGCCGGTTTTCCTTACCTGCCTCCAGTCTGTCCTCCCACCCGGACCCCGCCTCTCTGCCACTGAGTCTGCTCTGATTCCCAGCGACCCTCCTGGGCAGGGAGGGCTGCTCCTTCGGCTTTCTGAGACTCCACATTGCAACCAAATGGACAGCTTCATCTTCTTCCCGAGGAACGGCTGGTGGGTTTGAACCACTGACTCTGAGGTGAGCAGCTCAACACAGAGTCCACTATGCCAGCAGGGCTCCTCCTGGCAGGAGAGTGTGGCCCCTGTGGTGAGCAGGCGAGCAGACAATGACCCCTCTGTGACTGCATGCCAGCAGAGCAGGGCCACAGGCAAGGAGCCACGGGAGCTCAGGCCAGCTGGACTTGCTGCTCGCGACTGCCCCTGGCTAACCCAGGTCTAGAGAGTACCCCCAACTGCACTGGCAAAGCCGCTGGCCCACTCTGCATGGGCACGGCCTTGCACTCTCTTCCAGGCTACAGCAGAGCTTCGGACTCTCTCTTCACTGGGAGAGCAGCTCGGGGCAGATCCTGAGTCCAGCTGGCTGCTCAGGGCGCTTCGACTTGCCCTGTCAACATGGGTTTCCCAATCAAGCAGGGACGTTCTCAGAAATGGAGATTCTGGCCCAGACTCTCTGGACTTCTGAATCGTCAGGAAGGCCTGCCCTCCTCTCAGAGACACACCTTTACCTACTCTAACCAAGTGCTTCCGGCCAGTTCTAGGGCGGCTGGGAAAGAAACCGATGTTGCTAGACTCTCAGGCACTATCTACTGTGTTCCCATCTTAGGCAGAGAGATGGTGCTTGCTGAGCCGATGTAAAGGGCCTTGCAATCCTGTAGATAGCAGTCTCCACCCCTGTGTTAGGACATGGAGAGACTGACGTTCAGGTAAGGTAAGCACGTCAATGTCCTTAGACCAGACAGCTAATCGTGCTCCTCCGTGGGACAGAGACTGGCCCGAGCTCTTTTTCTCCCACCAACACTCGTCCATCTGCCACACTGCCCTGTCCTTGATGAAACAAATGATCAGAATCGACAGTTACAAACTCTTCTGGTTCTGAAAGAGCTGGCCCTGGGCAGTAAAAACTACCACCAGACACAATGGAAATGCTGGAGCCCAGGCCCATAGATGTAGGAGCAAGTAAGCAAGGCTGTTGAACCACAACACCCTGCACAACGTTTTTTTGCTTATTGACTGGCTAGGTTTTCACTGTCTTGTGCAAAAGGTGTGTTCTGCAAAGGGAACTACTCCACAACAACCCCTACACCTCTCAGTCTTGCCCCACCCCCAAAACCACACCCATTCTGCTTGCGTCCATATTAGCCACCAGTGAGCCCGTGAGTCAGAGCAGACCCGAGTGACCTGGCTTCTCGGCTGCCCTGGTGGCAAAAGCAGGTCTCCCTTCTGTGGCATTGCTGGGAGGCTTATACTGACCACCTTCAGGCTGCTGCCATCAGAGTTGGCTCTGACCCACAGCGAATGGCAGTTATATAATCTGTCAACTTGTGAAGGTGCGGAGTCTAGCTGTCAATCAGATCACAGCCAATGAGGCCTCTGTGTGGGCATGGCCTTCTCCTGAGGATTCTGGGAACTCCCGTCTTCCTCCCTTGAGGTGGGACACACACTGATTCTCTGCTTGACATTCCTGTTGACAATCCACATGGAGCTATGATGGTGGAGCCAGAGCCCTGGAGCTGGAGGAGCCACGTGGAAACCCACGCCAGTGCTGACATGCTTCCACCACCACTGGATCCACAAGACTTTCCACCCACTGGGCTGTGACCTTTCTGCACTCAGCACCATTGCATGTGCTGCGTGAATCTGAAGAGGAATTTGTAAACTGGTATTGGGTATATGGCTAATATCGGGCTTATGGACTTGTTCTGGACTGGGTTGGAATGTTTTCTTGATATACAATTACTCTTTATATAAAGCTCTTTCTTATACACGGGTCTCCCTCATTTCTTTCCCTAGTCATCCCCAGACTAACAGAGGGACTCTAAGCACAACAGAACAAAGCACCGCACCGTCCTGTGCCATCCTCACAATTGTTCTGATGCCCACTGTCAAGTCCTTTGTATTCAGCTGAGTGCATATCATTTGCACCACCTGGGGACCTTATCAATCTACCCAAGAAGGCTTACATCATGCACCTTGCTCCCTCCCAATCTAAGCTCTTTACCAGTGACGCGGTCTCTAATCCAAACTGCCTTGCTCTTGTTTCTAAGTTATTTCAAGATTTTTTTCCTTCCAGTTGCTCTGGAATTTCTCCAAGGGACTGACTCTATCTCTTCATCACAGACTCACTGTGGAACCCTTTGGCTCCATCGGTCTATGGAATCATGTTTTTCCAGGGCACCAGTGACATTAGGCCCAAAGGCCTCTGCCCGGTTCGCATGTCCTTGCGCACCCTGGCCTCGGGGCACCCTGGCCTCGGGGCACCGAGGTCCCTGCTTCCCCGTGGCATCTTTGTTTTCTGTGAGTCATTCCACTTCTCGCGAGTGTCCTTAGTCCATAGCTATCACTGGGCAACCAACTCACAGATGCCTTTGTTTTAAACTTCTTTCTAAAGTTCTAGTCTAACTGCCTCCCCAGTATCTCAATCTGTACCTACTCAGAGGGCAAGCCCCCCAAATCACCTACCAACTGTGCTCCAACTTCACCCCGATGAAGATCTCCTGTTTGCACGATGTACACTGCTTTAGGTGCAACCACTGAAAGCAGCAGGGACCGCCCAAAGAGCAACAGTTCTGAATCGGGAGCCGGACTGCTCCTCAGAAGTCCAAATGGTAAGACTTCGTCTCGTGGACTGTGGACACATTGCCCGGGGAAGCCGGTCCCTGGAGAGGGCCCTCGTGCTTGGTCATGCGGTGGCGCAGTGAGGGAGAGGAAGGCCTTTGACAAGAAGACTGGCGCGGTGCTGCCCCGACGGGCTCAAACACCAGAGTGACCGGGAGGCGGGCGCGGGACTGGGCAGTGCTTTGTTCTGTCGTACACGGTCTCCGTGGGTTGGAACTGACTCCGTGTCACCTAACAGCGACTGGTCCAACGCTCACCCCAGCCCTTCCTCCAGTTAGTGGTCCTCCTGACTGTAACTTACCTGTGGAAGGCACAACCTACCGTTCTCTGGGCTCAGAATCCACATCGACTCCTTCCCCATAACGTCCCCTCACATCGGCCCAGGCAGAGCTACGCTCTCGCCCATCTCCTCTGGGGGAAAGGACTCCTCGTCCTGTCCACATTCAGTGGAGTTGGAAAGCCTTCACACCGGCCTTCTGTCAGTCCATCCTTCGTTCCATCCAACACGCCACCCGGTTCATCTCAAAGCAGTCCTTTGAGCTGCTCCCCTATTCAACCACCGTCTGGGGTTAACCAGACGTGGAAGGGAAAATTCAAGCTCTGTGAACATGGGTTCAAGGCCCTTTGCAGCCCCGCGGTGACAAGCCAGAAAGTCAAACTTTACAGCCCAGCTGGACTTCTCCTTGTTGGATGGTGAGTCAATTCCACATCACAGTGGCCCTAGAGGACAGAGTCCAAGTGCCCCATAGGGTTTCTAAGTTTGGCTCTGTCTTTCTCCCAAGGAGCCCTTGGTGGGTTGGAAGCACAGCCTTTGGGGTCTGAGCTAGTTCTAGCCCCCTGTGCCACTGCCGCACTCATTGACTAGACCTGTCTGGCTACCACTTCCCCCGCCTGGGGTCTCTTGTCCAGAATTCCACCAGCTGGGCATCTGGTGATTTTGAGGGCTCGCTTCAAACACATTTTCTTGATATTCAAGCCAGCAAAGAGTTCCAACACTTTGAACTGCCCTCGCGGTACTTAGCATTTGTAACTCTGGGTTATATTAATCTACAAGACCCTTGCCAGTCATTCAATCCTGACTCACAGAGATCCCTGGGACAGGGTCAAAGTACTCACAGTTTCCAAGGCTGGAAGTCTTACGGAAGCAGACTTCATGCCTTTCTTCGGAGTAGCCAGCAGCTGGTGGGCTCTGAAGTGCCCACCTTTTGGTTAACAGATGAGTGCTTAACCTCTGTGTCACCAAGGCTCCTTCAGCAATATATGGAATGTGTGTGCATGTACATCCACTCATACATCATGTGCATGTCCACACAGAGAGGCATCAAGTTGATGTGTGTACATACATGTGTATGTGTCGAGTTGACTCGCTGGCAGTTAAGTATGGCTTTATGTACACGCATGTATATATACACACAAAAAGGCTTCAAAAAGTTTGTGGAAAAATGAAATGAAAAAATAATGGACTTTTTGCACAAACTTTAAGACGCTCACACACACACACACACACACATGGTCCTTGGGTGTTAAATGCTCCACTACTAAACCCCATCCAGAGGCATCTCGGAAGACCAGCCTGGTGACCTGCTCCTGGGAGGTCGGTCACAGGCTTGAGAACCTTCCGGGACTCTCCTCTGCACACAGGGTCCCGAGAGACGACACCAAGGAACAACATGAGTTAGCATTTTGAGGCCTTTGAGGTCTTTGAGCCTCCGTTTCTACATCTGTGAAACGGGGGCAATACTCTAATCCACGCCTGACAGCCCTCGGGCAGTTGCTTATTGCACTTTCAAAGAGGAAGTCTCCCGACCTCCTGAGTGATTCTCCTCAGCGCTTAACACTAACACCTAACTTACACCTATCTCACTGCGCCCAGGCCTTCATACATGGTGGTCTCCTGGCAACAGAGCAGAGGGTTTCGCCTCGGCACGAAGGGGCCGCTCTTCTCCCCACTCTTCCAAAGGGCGCTGGCAGCTAAGTGTCCGAGGTTCAAACCCACCAGGCACTCTGCAGGAGAACAAGGAGGCTACCCTGCTCCTGTGAAGATTGACGGCCTTGGTCACCCTAAAGAGGGTGCACTGAGCTGACAATGACTCCATGTCAGTGGCCGGGGCTCCCTGTCCTGGACCACGCAATCCCACCATTTTATCTTAGCCTAACCAACCCCCAGAGGGTCTGCGGGGCGTAAACCATCAACACACTCAGCTGTTAACCCAACGGATGGAGGCTCAAGTCCACCCGGAGGTGCCTCGGCAGAAAGGCCCGCTGATCTACTTCCAAAACGCTGCCACTGAACAGCATACGGAGCACGGCTCTACGCTGGCATGTATGGGGTCTCACCAGGCACAATCAGCCCCATGACAACTGGTACTCAATCACCACTGGGCTCAGCCCGTGAACCCTCCCCAAACACAGTGAATGGGAAGCTAAAGAAACAACGTCAGGTACTCCCACTACTCCCACTCGACCACAGCCGGGGCGCTTCATAAGGGAGACATGACCATGCACGCCCCTTGCCTGGAGACATGTGATGATACTTTGATGGCAAGGGCAGATTCTCTCCAGAATCACAATCTATTATTTCACGTAGAGAGTTACTAAGAGTCAAGTCCTTGGATTCTGGATTCAGACACTTACAAGTAAGAGACACAGCTCACTCAGATGACGGGAAGGCATGAACCCTATGGAGGAACCCGGGCTAGCTGACCTGCTCCCTGCACCCAAATCCTCCAACCTGCTGGGCCTGAAGGGTTCTGACGCGGCCCACGGGGTTCAGAAATAAAGGCTGCAAACGGATGCAGGCCTGGCCTGGGGAACCGGGGACTGGAGAGCTCCTGCTCCTAGTACGGCCATCACATTCTCTGACTGGGTGGTCCCTGGATGCTACAGGCTCTCCCTGGGCTGTGAGCCTTCCATTCACAGACCGCTCACTTCCACTTGCCCTTTAATGTGATGCAAATGTGTCCTCACTTTGAAACAATCTAACCAGATCCCTGCTTGCAACAAATTCTTCACCACCATCACCTCCACTTGCTGCAGCTGCCCCTGTAATTCACGGCCAGGGCAGGCGACCTTTTCTTGCCCTGTAGCACCCAGACCCAAATTCTCTGTGCTTGAGTCTGTCCTGACTCCCGATAACCCTACAGGGCAGGGAGAGCTGCCCCGTCTGTTTCCAAGACTGCACCTCTTTAAGGGAGCAGAAAGCCTCGTCTTTCTACCGGAGGGGCTGGTGGGTTTGAATGGCTGATGCTGCGCTCCACAGCCCCATGGATAACTCACTGGGTCACTTTACTGGTATCAAGTTCGGTTAAATAAGAACCTCGTGCACTGACGAGCTTGCCGGGGTATTTTGGACGCCCCAGGTGGCAGAGTGCTGTCTCGGGCAAGGGGCTGCCTTTGGAAAAAGAGGACTTGATACCAGTGCTTCAAAGCGGGAGTATACAGGCTTATTATGGTCTCAGGAGCATGCTGACGTTCCTTCACACAAAGGTGCGCTTGTTGCACAAACACGTGACCAGCCGCGAGGACTGTTTCAGAACTGCTCTGCTCTCCCCCTCAGACGTGTACCCCGCTTTCTTTTTAAGCCTGGCCCGGGCAGGTGTTGGCGCTGCCAACGAAGGCAATTTGTCTCTGCGAGTTCAATGTAGTTATTCCCAAGCACATGTCTACTCTACCATGGACACATCACCCTTAAAGCCAGCCCAGGCTTTCCACAGACGGAACCAGCTTCCACTCCCAAGACTGTCGACGGTGAACCGTCCACACGGAGATGTTGCCTTATGCAGCTTAGGGCCAGCTGTATAGTTGAAGACCCTTCCAGCCATTACGAATTGAGAGAGTGGCATTCCAAATGAATTCTGTGGGTGACCTGGGCTTGAACTAACCCAATTCCCACAGTGCAAAGAAGAGGTGACCGTGGCTACCAGCTGCTGTCCTCCCTTCTCCAACCTAGTGCCATAAACAGGCCGCGGCAGGAAGTGGGGATCAGAGACTGGGCCGACTGACTGCCGGCCTCTCGGGGCTCACTCACCTCTCCACCATGTGCGTCTGGTCCAGTGACAGCCCGTCGATGGCGGTGCACTCGGGGCACTTGAATTTCTTCCGGGGGGTCACCTGCCAGGGAAGCACAGAACCAGGCCCGTCAGTGCCGAGAGGGGCGGCTGGCTGGTGACGTGGCTCTGAGGCGTGCGCTTGCTCTACATAAGTGTACACACACACACACACACACACACACCTCGCCAGCCCCCCATTCAATTCCGTCTGGCTCGGCCAACGGCAGAACTCACAAGGGTCCAATAAAACAGGCTTGGCGGGCTTTCGCCTTCTGTAGCTGGAAAGAAGTGGTGATGACAAGCTCCTTAATTCCTGTTTAATGACTGTTTTCTCACTGCCAAGGTCCTTGTATAAACACCATTTGTTCTTGCAGCCATAAGGGCGATGAAATACAGCTTCCCATAACTTTCACCGTAACCTCCGTTCCAGCGGGTGCTCGTTCCCCTCCCTGCAGTCCGCCCGTGGAATAGGCTACGGGCTTCCCGGGGCTCTGGGAGCCGCAGGGCGATTCTGCAGTTCCCCTCGACACAGGAACGAAGGCAGCCGTCCCGAGTCCTTGGCCCTTACTGCCTGCCCTCCCCCCAGACCTTGGACTTGTACAGATTTCCCAAGCAAACCTGGACATGGCTGTGGTCCCAGCCCAGGGGAGGCAGGGGCACAGAAGAGGGCTGGAAGGCAAAGACAGCCGAGTCACGGGGGCCGACTGCGAAGCCCGTGTCCACAGAAAGCAGTCACCGGCAGCAGGAGGCAGAAACGCGGCCAGAAAGAAAACGTGGGGACGAGGGCAGGGCCTTCAAAAGGAGCCTGGCCATCTCCATCCCAGTTAGTCAGCTGTCCCCGAGTCGCGGGCGGAGGTCAGGCCCAGCCAGTGCAGACAGGGAGTGTCCCCTTTCCAGGTCACTGGTGCGCTCAGGCTGCTCCTGCCAGTCAGTGTCCTGAGCCATCAGCGGGGAATGCCAGCCCCGCTTCCAGCCTGAGCTCCCGGGAGTCCGGCCTAGAAGCTGTGCCCATTTTCCCCACACACAGGGAATTCTAATCTGGGAGGGGGGGAAGGGTGGGGTGGGTGTGTTTGCGTGTTAAGCTGATTCTACTCACAGAAAGAAATGCACATTCTCTACATAGCTGGGGGTCTGAGCTTAGCAAAGTCTGCATTTCCAGGATAAAACCCAAATCTACCACCACGCAGCTGATCCCGACCCGTGTGGACCCTGTGGGAATGTAGGGTTGCCAGGGCTATAAACCTTTTGGGGAGCAGACAGCTTCATCTTGCAGCCACAGAGTGAGTGGTAGGTTTGAACCCCCAACCTTGAGGTCGGCAAGCTAACACCTAAGCCCTCCAGGAATCCTTCGTACCAAAAGTAGATACAAAGATAATCCTTGTGCACCCTCAGCTTTCACCGTGTTGTGGGAAACGTGCTTCAAGAAGCCATGTTTAGGGGAACTATCAGGTCGCCAGGATTTGGAATTGACAGGACGGCAGTGAGTTTGCACCTGAGCTTATAGTGACGTGACTCTGCAAGAGGCCCTATTCTCTCAACATCTACTTAAAAACCGGCCACCTTAAGACAGAAGTAAATGGTGGCTTTTAGCTAATGGAAACAGATCCCAAATTAAATTTGAGAATCAATTAATTTTACTCTTAAGACACCATTGTGGCTCAACTATCAGTTTTTTTTTTTTAACTATCAGTCTTTTAACAGTTACACTGAGGGTTAAAAACTCTCACTAAAGGAACTTAAAAAAATAAAAAGACAACATTTAAATTGGCAACACCTTGCTTCAATTTTACAACGCGAGAGAATTGATGACCGACTCTTAAAGCCAAAAGGGAGCTTACATTCATCTACCGAATACTCCATCTAGAGTAACACTGAGCTCCCAGGCCGAGAGAAAGCAAGGGTTTGCTCAGTCGTCTAGCAAGGTCATGGCAGAGCTGGGCCAGGACACTCCTACCTTGATGACAGCCTTCCCCGTGACGTTAGCCACCAGGAAATTCATCGCGATGTCTTCACAGTTCATGTGAGCATCCACCCAATTCTTGATATCCCCCGGCATTTTGTAGGTGTACAGGTAGTTAAAATACTGTCAGGAGAGACAAGAGGAAGAAACATTCAACAGCAGCTCCCCCTGCTGTGATACAATGGGCCTCCAGGCTGTGGCAGAGAGGCAGGGCTTTGCTCCTACGATCAACCACCAGGCTGTAGCGATGGAAAGGGCAAAAGAAGTGTGAGAAGGCTTTTGGCGCAGTGGCCGAGCATTGCTACTATGGCCCTTCTCTGCTCACTGCAGGCAGAGACGGGGCCAGGCAAAGCCTGGGTGGGACAGACACTGATTCATGGACGTGGTCCACAGACACGTTAGAGTCTCTGGCTGAATCCTTTGTCTAAAGTCACAGCGTTCTGTCCCTGTGTCCCTCCTTCTCTCCACAGCTTCCTAATGGAAACAGAGATAAAACAACAGTGGGGCAATGTTGTACAGACAGGTGCTTTTAAAGGAAGCATGAACGTGAAGCGGCTCTGAATTGGCCATAACCTACATGTGCGAACCAGGGCGACAAGCAGACCAACAGCGACACACAGGGCCTACTGTCACGAATCTCCCGAACTGCCCTACGTTGTTTTAGCTGCCAAAAACAAAGACTCCGCCCTGGGCCTCGGTCCTGAAAGCCACAGGGAGGGCAGCAGTGCTGAGCGCACGATGGGCAATCAGCGTGAATCCAGCTGGATTCAGGGCTGTGCTGACTGGGCGGCTCTCTCCATTCCGGTTCCATCCTACTTACACTTTGCCACCTAATTCAGTAAGCCCCACACCCCAGGGAGCACGCCACCACCCAACTGAGCACCCTGCCAGCAAAGGCTCTCCATCCAAGCACAGCGGAAGCATGAGCTGGCAATTATCAAAAGGACAGAGATGAATACACAAAATACACAAAAGGGGTTCCGATCCCGCCACCCCGCAGAGGGGCCTCAGAAGAAAGGCCTGGTGACAGGCTTCCAAAAAACTAGCCACTGAAAACACTGTGGGGCACAGTCCTCCTCTGACCCCTACGAGGTGGCCGTGCGGCAGAGCAGACTTGAGGGCACCTGGTTTAGCCGTCAAATGAGAGTTGAAATGGTAAGCTGGCCACCAAGGCTCCGTGTGAAGTGGCGTTGCCTGGGCGGGTATAGTAAGGTGGTCGGCTTCCCATTTTGTTGACAGGGGCTGGAAGCGTTCATGGGTGTTATTGAAGATGACGGTCAAATATCGTTCAGAAGCCCCAAAACGGTTCATACCCTTGGACATTACTAATTCTACTAAATCTACCGGTGAACGTCACAATCAGCTATGAGAGCAGTTACGGACCACAGCATTAAGGCAACAACAAACACTAGGAAGAACTGAAATAGCCAACAGAGGACGGTCATACGCAAAGGGCACAATTACCTTGAGAAGAAATTACTTGTGAGGGATGCTGACACTTGCTGAGGACGATGGGAGCTCTCCGCTCAGCTCGTGAGCGTGATTCACAGCGTGACACACGGCACGCAGTGTATTCACCGCTGGAAAAGGAAACCCCTCCCCCAGCAGTGACTGTGGTTATCGCCTGCTGGCGGGACGACCAGTGACATTTCTTCTTCAGTTTGTTTGCCCGAACTTCCCACATGCCTACTCTGAGCCTGTATTACTTTGATAATTAGTACACAACACCTTTTTTTTTTGGTAAGGAAGTCTCACAAAGCCTATTTTGTTGTGCCGGCCTGTCTATGCCGTCTGGGTAGGGCAAGGTTACTAAATTCAACAGCAAGAGAGGACAATTGCACTGGGCCAACGAAAGGGACTATCATGCTTCCGTTTGCCAATCCAGGCCCAGGGGGCCCAGGCCTCCCCTCTTACCTTGTGGTAAAAAGCTGCGCCCGTGAGCACCATGGACACCTCGTTTGTCCACTCAGATTCATACTTCCACTTATTCATCTCATGGTCCCAGAGATGCAGGCGGCCTGGGTAGCCCACCAACCGATCTGGGAATTCCCGCCAGACCTGTGAAGGAAACACACTGATGATTCATTCCTGGCCATCATTGCCACGTAGGTGTCAGCAGACTGCCGGGGTTCGGATCCTCACACCCCAAGACGGCCAGGATGAAGGCAAGCCTGAAGAGGTGCGGCTGACCAGGCTCACGCTGCTGACAGTACTCACAGACAGACGTTGGTCTCAATTTCTACGAAACTTCTTGGGCTGGCTTAGATATTTTAAGACAGAGGAACGGCTTACTGAGTTGGTTCAAGGTAGGCAGCCTCTTAATACGTGACTCATGAAAGAGATTCCGCAGTGCGTGAACTCGCACAGGACAAACAAGAGGAACACCGCAACTCGGAGGCTCTGGTCTGCACTCGAGTTGGGTGATTCTGAACATGTACCAAGTCTCTTGCTTTTAAAGAGAGCTTCTATTTTTCCTGAGCACACAGCCCTTCTTAGGACTCGCTGGAAGTCTAAAATATGGAAAAGTTGTCTGATTACACGATCGGTACGATACGCACCACATTAACTTGATTTCCGTAGCTGGAAAAGGTTCTGCGATCCAGTTTTGCTGGCTTCAACCCCATTTGGTACACTGCTAGCATGAGGCACCATTGCATTGGGTCCAACCCAGTGGCCCTATGCACAGCAAAGCAAAACACTGCCCGGTGCTGAGCCATGCAGGGCTAGAGCCCACTGCTGCAGCCACCATTGCCAACCCACCTCAATGAGGGTTCTTTCGCCATGTGTTCCCTCCCGTACAATCCAAACAACAAACCAACAGTGCGGCCCTGTCTCTTCTCGTCTCCACATGCGACTTTCGAGTAGCCTTTAAGGGAAGAGACCCTTCCATTAAGGAGAGCCAATGATGCTCCTGTACCTTCTCCGGCCCCTTTGACAGGGTCTCATCCTTCACCACCATCCCGCTGGGGTTCCTGAGGACTGAGTCCTGGGCCCTAGTCTCGTGTGTGTACACACATACCCCTTGCCTCTCTCTCTTTAGGCCTGTGCTTTCCTGAGATAACCCACCACTGGCTCAGTGTCACCACCTGAGTAAACAACAGGCATCTCAACTTATCATGTTCTTGATTCCATCTCCCCATCTTCTTCATTTCAGTCAATCATCCACCCCATGGCTCGGAGTCAGCCTTTATCCCCTCTTTCCTCTCCCCCATCTAAGCCATTAGCAAGTCCCGCTGGCTCTACCTTGATGCCCTCAGACCCTCTCTCCTGCCACTGCCCCTCAGCCACGCCCCAGGCCTCTCACCTACATCACTGGACTGTTTCCATGGGTTCACCTTGCCATTGGAAACCATGACTGACAAAGGCCTTCCTGCAAGAACACTATGAACCCATTGCAGTCTGGTGGATTCCGACCCACAGGGACCCCACAGGACACAGCATAACTGTCCCATCGGGTTTCTGAAGCTGTACACCTGGACAGAAGCAGATGGCTTCAGCTTTCTCCTGCAGAGTGGCTGGTGGATTTGAACTGCCAACCTTTTGGTTAGCAGCCCAATGCTTAATCAACTGTACCACCAGGGCTTCTAAAAGGATATTGCTCAGGGTAGTACTGTATTCTTAATGTTACTATGGTCATTTTCCTAATGTACCCATCTACATATAAAGTCATACGGTACAGCAACCAACAGCCCTCTTAACTTGACCCGCGTGTCGAGTCCAGGGATGACGCCCTTCTGAAGAGCAGAGCCAGTGTGTTAGCTGTACGCCCCACCACACACACACACACACACACACACCTTTAAAAGGGCCATGTGGACATTTATTACATCACTCAAAGGCCATACGAAATTATCAACTTAAAAATGAGCCTGCTATATTTGGTCAAATATTGAATTACATTACCCCTAATGTGATGGCTGGGACTGATGTTAGCTGGTCCGCATGGTTTCCGGGGCCCACTGGCGGGGACGTTCCCCACCCGTCCCTAACGGACCTACCCACTCTCCAACCTCTTCTCAGACTCTGCCCTACCACCTTTCTGTCCGGAAACCCCGCTGAGGCTTCAGGCCCTGTGTCTGCTACTTCTGACTGAAGAGACTGTGTTGGTGAAGAACATCGAAAGGACCACGGACTGCAAAACGACTCTCTTAGGACAGCGGAATGCTCCATAAAGGCAAGGATGGCTGGACTTCATCTCGCATTCTTGGGTTGTGAGGAACAGAAGGATTTCTCTTAAGTTGTCTCCCCAAAATATATGCCAGATTTAGCTTGAGAATAATTGTTCACTAGGCAGCGAAAATAGGTCAGAGGTTATTCTCCTTAACATCAGCCATCTAGAGCGGCCAGACTGCATAGTCTGACTCACCCCAAATAGGGCCCATTCCTTTCTGTTATTGTTCCCTCGAAGCAGTGCCCATAGGCAAGCCCGGGGCCACTCTAAGATGACTAAGCTTAGGCTACCATCTTGCCACACATGCCCCCCTATTCCCGCCTCTTACTATTGCACATTCACCCCTAGGTCATCCCCCTCCTATTGCTTGTATTGCCTATGTTACAACCCCTCTCTATGACGTAGGTTGTTATCTGCTATCAGGGGGCTTGCATGCCTCCCAGGATAGTAATTGCCTGCTTTATTGTATGAGACACCAGAATGATCAAACCTGTTCAAGGATGAATTGTACTGCCCTTCTCTGTGATGCATGATGCTGTGATGTATTCCCCTAAAGTAATATGATGCGTGGTTAGCAATAAATAATGAGGCTCCCTGGTTCTCGGGAGGGTGGCTGGAGAAGGTGGCTAAGGAGGATGAAGCAGCGGCTTCTTCTCTGACCGCTAAGCCCCCTCCACGAGGACCATCAAGCGGAGCTGAGGTGAGCAATGCTACCATGAATTGCGTCTGACTCCATTACTTGACTCCATCCTTTAACTCTCATGCTCTCTATGACTTTACTATAATCTCTACTTATCTTCGCTGTACAATTGCGCCTACCGAACCTGTGATGTTTGGTGAGGTTCCCTCTTTCCTTTAACCCCACACTTGGGTCACATTATCCAGGGAGAGCAGTCCTGGAGAAGCGCGTCATGCTCGGTAAAGTGCTGGGGCAGCGGAGAGCCGGGGCCTCGACACGATGGGCTGACACCATGGGGGGCACAACGGGCTCCAGCATAAGCACAAGGGGTGGTGGTTCCTCCATCATCCCGGGGAGCTTTCGGAGTGGGAACCAACTCCACAGCACCTCATAGGCACGGCTACAGGCTCTCTGCTTCTGCAATGTCTCCGACTTCAATGTCCTTCGGCCTCTTCACAGGGCTCGCTGCTCCTCTGTTCTGTGAGTCCGGCTTAAATGTCACCTACTTTGAGAGGCCTCCTTGGACCTTTCAATCCAAGGCAAGAGCCAAGGCAACCACCATCCCCTGTCGGTCTTCATTCCATCCTCTCGCCCCTGTTCCTTAGCCAAAGTCATCTTTGGAAATTGCTACGGTCATTTCTCAGTTACTGAGCAACCATTTTCCTTCCGTCGGACTCACACTCCCCGCGGACGTGGGACTCCAGTCTTCTTCCCCTGGCATTCTGGGCACTGAGTGGCTGGAGTCTCAGTAGACGGAAAGGTGTGAATGCGGGTAGGGGCCAGCTTTGGGAAGGAAACCTGTAAGCGCACCCATGCAGTTACCAACCAGAATCCCGTGCCGTCCTGTGTGTGTGCACACCACACTAACACTCCACGACCACAATCGTGCACATTTCACACGGCCTTCCCAAAGGGGTGAAGGGATGTGCGGAGCCGGTTCACTGCCTGGACCTGTCCTCCTGGTCATGTCTACGCGTTCTTCTAGGACGGGGAAACAGCTATGAAGAGTTTTGATGCGTGCGTGAAAACAGCCTCGGCCTCATTAACGCCATGTTGTCACCAGTGCTATCTGGTCCCAGGCCCCATCCTAGCGGCTGAGCGGCAAGAACCTGCAGAATTCCTTCAGCATGCAACCCTCCTGTGGGCTCTCTCTACTCTAAGTTGTGTATTTCAGCACAACTGCAGTTTATAGAGCCCAGGGCAGCTACATGACATGCGAGCCATGACATGTGCTTGGCTGTGGGCCTGGGCAGACTCTATGCATCGGCCCTTCCTTCGCTCCGCATCAAGCACCTGCCTGCCCAGGTCAGGTCATCCCTACGCCATGCTCACAGGTTTTCCTGGATCGAATTAAAAGACTGCTGACAGCTGAACTAAAAGCCAGGGCTGGGAAAGGTGGCGGGCAAGGGCAAGGGCAGGGGCACCCATTCAGTGGGTGCTGACTAAAGCTATGTTTCCCCCCTATTGACCATGCCTGCACCCTCCCCATTCCCATCACTTCTTCCTTGCACTATAAGCCCCCATTTGCAGTAATAATAATAATGATCCTAACAGCGACTCTGCTTTGGGGACAGACGCTGTCCGGGTTCAGTCCTCTGACCAGGAGCTGAGGCTACTTATCAGACTCCAGAAGGACTTAACTTAGGGACAGAGGGCCACAGAAGTAGGCCCAGGCTGTCCTGGAAGCATCAGAGGTGTCCCCAGCTCCAGGTCCCTTGGAGTTGCTAATGAGTGCTGCTAAGCAAACCCTCACTTCCCACAAGAAGCTGGACACAATCGAGATACTGTCCTCGGTGATGGCTTAGTACTCCATCTATAACGCTGCAGCCCAGCGACGACGACGGGATCAAAACGGCAGGGCTGGGCCGGGGCGTTCCAGGGTAGGACAAAGCCCATTACGGACACAGGAAAGCATTTTCCCAGGCCGAAGAGCAAGAAGGTCAATGACATCCCCCTTTCCTCACAGCTACTTGACCCCTGCCACGGGAACCCAACTTTTCCCTTGGGGAAAGTGCTTTTGGTTATTACTAACAGACGCCTTTAGAGATGACAGCAGGGGCACGTGAAAGCTCACATAGAATCCCTGCAGTTGGAATGCTGGTGCTTCCATAGCTATGGTCAGGGGGCCCGGTGGTGCTGTGGTGGGGGCCCCACACCCACCAGCCTCTCGGAGACAGAAGCCGTGGCACTCTGCTTCTGTGAGGACTT